TTTTTCTCAATTTCGTCCTAAACGACTTTGGTGACCTAATATCATCCCAGACTTTTGTGTTTCGCTCAATTTAGTCTCAGACTTTTGTGTTTTTGCACAATTTAGTCCCTCATTTGTTATTCTGTCCATTTGGTGTTAAATAAATAGACAATTCAGTAATTTTAATATTGGCATATCTTTACTCAGGGACATGTGAACTGCGAAATCCCTTTTTTTTTTACGAATTACTCCCAAAATTACTCCTAAAACTGCGAATATAAAATTTGATTTGCAGGTCCGGGAGTAATTCTGGGTGTAATTCGTACAAGAAAGAGGAATTTCACACTTCACAAGTTGAAAGTAAAGAGAGATCAATATTGACATTATTGAATTGTCTCTTTATTTAACACCAATTTGACGGAATAACAAATGGAGGACTAAATTGAGCGAAACACAAAAGTTTGGGACGATATTAGGTCACCAAAGTCGTTTAGGACGAAATTGAGAAAAACCACTATAGTCGAGGACGACTTTGGGTATTAACTCATTTAAAATCTAATGGATGAAATTTTTTTTATCTAATTTTTGATTTATTTTTTCATTTTAATTGTCCTCAATTCTTAAAGAAATAACAACTTTACTATTATTTTTTTGTCTTCTTCCTCTTTGCCTTGATGTGATCCTTGTCTTCTTTTTTTTCCATCATTCCAACACTCCATTCTTTTTCTTCTTCTTTTTTTTTTTTTAACATTTTTGTTTAGAAAACCACTACATTATTCTAGCTAACATCTCTATTCTCTCCCTCAAAACCAAATCTAATGTCCTCTCGCATGTTCTTAATTCAATTCTTGTATATCATGTTGGTATCTGAATAACTTATTTATGTATTCTTATTTATTTTGTCATATAACAATTATTAAAAATTATATATATTATTATTTAAAAATTAGAACATACTCGTTTTAAAAATAAAAAAATAAAAAATTAGAATATAATAATTGATTGTTGGGCATGACGTTTCGCGTAAAACGCGTGCCCTCGACTAGTATATATTATAAATGGCACATACAACATGAGATATTGGATGTGACTTCATCAAATATATATTTTTTATCATGCCACATTTCTCAACTAATGTACACTAGAACCTTAATTACACACCAATAGTAATCATATTCGTGATTAATAAAATCTCAAAAGGTAACAAATCACAACACCAAACTACTTATGAGTTTTAAGGTAGCTACATTTCTAGTATTTAAACTTGAAACATCTGGTTACACTAACATCACATTTGGTTCATAGAACGAATTTTGAGGTAATATGAATGTTATTCCATAAGGAATGGAATATACAAGGAATAGAATAAAAATTGTATTCTATTGTTTGGTTTGCGGAAGGAATAGACTTTAGGATTACATTACAGTGTTTGGTTTATTTAAGGAATAGAAATGAAATATGTTTTAAAAGTAAATACCCTTATAAAAATATATGATGGTGGCGATGGTGGTGGTGGCAGTGGCGTTGGTAGCGGTGGCGGCGGTGGTGATGGTGGTGGCGGCGGTGGTGATGGTGGCGGTGGCGGTAGTGGGGGTGGTGCTGCTGGTGGCGGCAGCGGCGACGGTTGTGGTGGTGGTGGCGGCGGCGGCGGCGGTTGTGGCGGTGGTGGGCGGTGGCGGTGGTGCTGCTAGGGTGGTGGTGCTGGTGGCGGTGCTAGGGTGGTGGTGCTAGTGGTGGTAGCGGCGGTGGCGATGATGGTGGTGGTGAAATAGGAAATACATTAATTGGAGGGTAAAATAGAAAATAGAAACTTTAGGCTATTCCCGAGAACTCAGGAATAGCCTAATACCAGGGGGCCCCTAGGAATCTCTATTCCCCTTGCAAGGGGAATATGTCATTCCCGGGAACAATGTTCCTGGGAATACAAGTGGTTACCAAACAGGGGAATATGCCTATTACTGGGAATGCTATGTCATTCCAGGCCTATTCCGTGAACCAAACAGCCCATTAAAGATATCTACTTATTTTTTTCACTTTTAAAAGTGGACTACATTATTACCAAATCAACATATTTGCATTCACTATTATTTTTTCTACACCCCTATAATTTCAATCTACTTTCAAAATATAATATAATAATAAGAATAAGGGCCAAACAGGGCATCCAACTAAACACCAAAATGCAATTGGGCCACTAAACTTAAAAAAAAAAAAAAAAAAAAAAAAAAAAAAAAAAAAAAAAAAAAGATCCCTGAACAACACAAATTCATGCAATTTAACCTAAAATGACTTGTTTACTTGTTAATATGCTGACGTGTCGATTTCTTTATTTAAAATGAATTTTAAACTTTTATTTTAATAATTATAAATTAAATAATTATTTAAATTATATTAAAAAAACAGTATAAAAAAAATAGCCTCTTCGTCTCCGGCCCGGCCATAGAGACGAAAGGGACCGTCTCCATGGCTAGCCGGAGACGAAGCGGTCCCCTTAATGAACCATATGTAACATGTTTGGTTCGTTTCAACTTCCCTTGAAAAATTTGTATAAATAAATATTTAAAAAAATAATAAATAATCGAGAGTTTAATAAATTACTTGTAAATTAATGAACCATATGTCAAAAAATATCAAGTCATCAAATTAATTAACTACCTAAAAATTAAACTCAAGTTAATAAAGTAATATATGGAGTATTGCATGCACACTACACACGTACTGCATCGTTATGTAATGTATCATATTGCAAATTAAATTACAAAAAAAACTTTAACTACGCATATGGACGGAAATTTATATAATAAACAATGTTTGATGTGAGACAAATTCTTTATATTTATAAGAGACTTTTAACTTGATTTTAAAAATGATACATAATTGAATAAATTTGGTAGATTTCTAGCAAAAAAGAATCCTACCTCCCCTAGGTGAATTTACGTTTTACTTGATATCATGGAATGTAAATCCTATTGATCCGAACTTTTCTAAGTACCAAAGTGGAATAACTTTTTTACAATTTAAATTTTTAAAAAAGTTCAAACTTTCTTGTGATTACCAAACCTCATATTATAAAATTTAAAAATAAAATAAAATAAAATTAGTGTACGGCTTACTACGTGCACGTGAGGTGAGAAGCGCGTGGGAATGCCAGATTGCCGTTTATAGTTTAATTAGGAAGGGTCAAAATATTGTTCAATGGCCAGTCTCGCAACCGAGATTCGCATATAGATCTCATCGTATCATATTTCTTAAACATCACACACTTAACATTAATTAAACAAAATCAACGCATCAAAACTATGTTTTATTTATCAGCAAATTATTTATACGGAGAATGCTAAAGAGCCTAATGTATGTATTTTCATCCTATCGTATTCTTGGTCAGATAGAATAGATTGATCAAACTATATGAATAACAAAAATTACCAAAATCTTTCACCATCGCATGCATGTACAAGACAAAAATACTTTTTTACCAAGTACTAGATATTTTCTATACCAAATAGTTATATATATATATATATTGTGTTTTTATAACTAAGATGTTGATCTCGAGGCATGGAGTTAATTACTGAAATGGTCTCTTGACTATAGTGAAATTACCAATTTGGTCCTTGACTATTTTTTTTGACCAATTAAGTCCCTCAACTTTAAAAACCTTAATCAATTTGGTCCTCCGTTTGTTTGACTGTTAGTCAACCGTTAACTTGGGACCAAATTGGTAATTCGCTATAGTCAAAGGACCATTTTGGTAATTAACTTTAAGGGTGGGCAATTCGGTTAAGTTTTCTCGAACCGAACTGTACCAAACTAGTTAGATTCGGTAATATACCGAACAACCAAACGGTAATAGATTCTTGTATACCGAACGATTCGGTAAAAACTTGAACCGAACTGAATTGTTCGGTAAAAACTAAACCGAACCGAATACCGTTTGAACTTCGGATTACTATTTATTTATTTATTTATTATTATATTTTAAAAAAATAAAACGGTATTTGGTTCAGTTCAATTTTTTACTGAACAATTCGGATCGGTTCGGATCAATTTTTTATCTAATCGTTCGGTATACAAGAATCCAATACCGTTCCGTTGTTCGGTATATTACAGAACCAAACTAGTTCGGTTCGGTTCGGTACGGTACGGTTCGATAAAACTAAACCGAATTGCCTACCCCTAAAGTTAATTACCAAAATAGTCTCTTGACTATAGCGAAATTACCAATTTGGTCCCAAGTTAACGGTTGACTAACAGTCAAACAAATGGAGGACCAAATTGGTTAAAATTTTTAAAGTTGAGGGACTTAATTGGTTAAAAAAAAATAGTCAAGGACCAAATTGGTAATTTCGCTATAGTCAAGGAACCATTTTGGTAATTAACTCTCGAGGCATGATTCTATTCTTCCTAAATCGTAACAGTCCTATATTATAGTAATTTTCACCCAAATTTATATAATTGGTTTAAAAGATTTTGTTTTACTCTTCTATCCCAACAAAAATCCACATGTTATCAAATTTTCATATGAAAATTTTCTCAATATTTATTAGTATATGCATAAATCATAATGTTGGAATCTAAAATATATTTTAGTTGGAGAGAATCAAACCCATCCGATTTGAATATTAAAACCATTAATTTAATCAAACTTAAGATTCAAAAAACCTGAAGAGAAACGTCGATGAGCCTTCTTCATCTTCTTCTTCTTCTTGTTCTTCTAATAATCATTCTCCTTGCGGATTATTTATCGCTCTAATCTCTGCTGTAAATGCCAGCTTTCTTCTCATGATTTCTTTATCTTTCATTGTATCTTGAGATCTTCACCCTAAAGCTGAAGAAACTACCTCCCTCCTTCATTCTACCCAGTCCCCACCACCTCTCACTCTCTTAAATTCCCATGGATCATCTTTACTGTCGTCACTGTAAAGCTGCCACTTCTGCTATCTGATCTGTGTCCCTCCAAAAACCTCCTCAGTTTTGCAGTTGCGTTCTGCATTTTCATCGCTTTAATGATCCCCCTGCTTTCTCAGTAGCATTGCGCCATTGCATTGTATTGCTGTTTGTTCGATTCAGTTGAGTATTGTGTGTGTGTGTGTGTGTGTGTGTGTGGTTTCGATCTGAGGAAATGGAGCTGAAATCGGTAACGCCGGTACGGAAACCGCTGTTGTTGAAGGATTATCTGGTGGATGAGTTGAGCTCCTGCTCGTCCAATGGATTCAGATCGTATCCCCGCCGCGAATGTTGTACGACGGTGAGGCTCCTGCTGGAGGCTGACCTCGGAGTTAAGCCGCCGGGAAAGGTAATGTGCGGCGGCGAAGCGGCGCGGCGGGTGGTCATCGCGGGGAAGCCGGCGCCGACAGCCGGTGTTGTGTCGGCGCTACAGAAAGCTTCCAAAACCGTGCTCAATGCCGTTAAGAGCCTCCAGTTTTCCGCCGCCGGTAAATCCGCGAAGCAGAGCAAGCCGAAGAAGGCGATTCTGTCCAGGAGATTCTCACGGAAGCTTCTCAAACGAAGCTTCAAGAAGAGAACAATCGATCGTAACGAAATCGAGCGATGGAAAGTTTACAACAAACTGATGGAAAAGAAATCAGATAATCCGTCGTCGAGATTTTCTCCGGCGGTGCATAATGTCGCCGATTCCAACGCCTCGACGAGTGAGACCAATAGCTGGTCGGATAGCGATTTCACCATTTCCGGCGAATCGCTGCAATCTTCGAGCTGCAGTTCCGACGTCAACTCTACGGAGGCGCAAAACGACGCCGTTGCCGCGAAATGCTCGCCAACCGACAAGTCAGTTATCAGCAAGATAGTCGGCGTAACCACCTCTATTGCGACTACTACCTACTCCCCCATCACAAAGGTCAGCATTTTTCATTATTATTATTATTCCAAAATTACTTTATTAGCATATATATATATATATATATATATATATATATATATATATATATATATATATATATATATATATATATATATATTGGTAATTCAACGTGCCAAAAAATCTTTGAATTATTATTTAATTACCTCCTAAAATTTGAAATTAAAAAAAGGAGTTAATATGATCAAATATATTTAACAAAAAATTTACCTAAGCATATGAATTATGACACTCTTCACAACATTTCACATTTATATAATTATAATTATGAACTCATGGACCTGTCTACATGTCATAATTCTTTTCACTAAGTCAACCTATTGATTGTCCGTGCATATATCATAAGAAGATTTTTACAATGACATATATAACGATGATGTAAATGTACTTTATAAGTGATTATAGGATAATTTGTCTATGTTTATTGAGAAAAATAGTTAAATTTCACTAAATATATATTTTGTAATATTTTAAGTATGATGTTTTAAAAATTTATGTAAGATAAAATTTAGTTTTGTTATTAAATATACTAAAAACCATGCTGATATGGATTTTTTAAACATTGGAAGGAGAAAGAATTTAAATTTCAAGGGATTGGGATTTTCAAGGCAATTAATGCAAAGGAGATTCAAATTTTTGAATTATAGTAAAAAATGGGATTCAGGAATTTTTGAAGTGAATTAAAAAATGCTGAGGAGTAATAAAGATTTACAGCGCCAGTGAAGGCAGAAAAACAGCTGGAGCATGAAGTACACATGCGGGGTATATCTCGGAAATATTAAAATATTTCTAGGCAATTGATAACTGAAAATTAAAATTCTATGAGTCAACGGTGTAGATCCCGTTACTTGTTGTTTCCTAGTGAGATCTACGACGTGTAGAGTTTGACTACTCCCTTCTTGTAGATGTCAATGTAGGAGATCCACTTTTCATTTTCAATTTCCTAAAATACCCTTATATAAATATACAAAATTGTATAACATATATATATAATACATGAAATGCACCAATATATCACACACCAAAAAATGTACTACACCGCATCACTCATAATGATGCATTTTCGAACACTTTGTGATGCATTATCCGTACCTAATGTTGAGCGACCACACAGCCGTACGAGAATCTGACCATATAAAAACAGTATAAAATTATACTCCGTAATATTTTGTTTTACTTTTAAATTTCATTAAGAGTAGTTGCTTATGTTAATTGTTAGTTGTTACATACTTTTGTCATGTTGTGAGTTTGACTTGTGATGGGTCCCATTATAACTTGTCTGCTTTTGCTATGTCTGGAACACAATAATGGTGACAAGTGGTTGGTACTCTCTATATAATTGAGATGGAAAATTATTTAGGTAGTCCAAGTGAAATAATTCCTCTCTTTTTAACTTTATGTAGTTGCTGACTTTTCATTGTACAATAATTTAATTAAAAATATAACACTGCATTCGTTCAGAACATTTCGATGACTAAACAAAGTGACATTTTTTTTTTTTTTAAAACAAAGTGACATTCAGTAAATTTCTTTGAAAAAATTATGTTTTCGTCATTAAGTTATACGTTAATTATAAGATTTGTCTTTATTTATTGACTTTTCGTCCCTAAGTTATAATTTATATTACAAATTTTGTCATTTTCCTAACAAAATATTATGGACCAAATTTACTTCATAAGTTACAGCTTAGAGGCAAGAAGGTAGCATGACCTATTAGAAAAAAGATGAAATTTGTAATGTAAATTATAGTTTAGGGATGAGAAAGTAAGCACGACCAATAAGTAAAAACGAATCATATAATCACCCTAACTTAAGACCGAAAAATGTAATTTTTTCAACTTTTATCGATATAAAATATGGTTTGGTGTGCCCATATATTTGTACTTCAACACGAATTTTTCATTTCTATGTATACCTTATCTTTGAAAATTATGATTATTCTATTTGATGTTGTCATCACCCAAACGACCAAATCCTTCTTTTACCTTAGTGTCTTCTACACTGAATTGATCTTTTTACCATAAAGTACTGAGATTTCAATTACTTACCAGCTTGATTGGCTTGTTGATATCTACATTCTATATATACATTGCAAGTTGTAACATGCTTAATGGTTACAGAAACAGGTTTGGTCAAATGAGGAGAAGGAACAGTTTAGTCCAGTTTCTGTACTGGATTGCCCATTCGAAGATGAAGATGACGTCTCTTCACCTTTTCAAGATAAACTTACAAATGTAGAAGGTAATAACATCATTGTTATTATTATCAGTATTCAATATTGCAGAAAACACTAGGTGCTAGTCGGGCTTCAAGGGGCACCTAGCGCCTAGGCGGTCCAGTAACTATTATAATTTCACAAACTAGTCAATTAGATATGGTAGATGGTTAGTTGAATACATGACTGGAGAAATATAAAAGAGGAGCAACTGAGCAGACAAAAAATACCACTCGATCGAGTTGGGTGCCGACTCAACCTAGTTGGGTGCCAACTAGGCGGAGTTAGGCCCCCAACTCGATGCCTAGTCCGCTGATTAGTTGGCCAGCCAACTAAAAGCATCCTCGGGCTGAAATTGCCTTAGCTCAGGGGCGCTAGGGCCTAGGCCGATTTTTACAACACGGTCATTACTTGATTTTCTTCCCCATTTAGTAACTATATATATAAATTAAATGTATTGTTGCATATATATATATTTATGTATAGGAACTAGGAAGAAGCAGATGAAGAAGAAGATGAAAAAGCAGGAATGCCTCACTCAACTTGAGCCAGTAAATTTAGTGAAACGAATTGCATTTTCAGAGTCAGAAACTGATGAAGAGTCTCCTCTTCATCATCTTTCCCTATTACCATCCACACCTGCAGACATATTGATGGCTGATTTAGAATTAAAGGCTGCAATGTTACTTAACCAGGTGAAAGCCAGAACGCCATCACGCGGCCTCAAACCAATGGCAAAAACCGACAGATTACTATTGGATTTCTTCCGCCACGGAATCATTGAAAACAGATTGTTAGTGAGAGCAGATAATAGTGGAGAGTATGAGTACGATGGCGAGGAGCTAATGCGAGTAGCAGAGGATTGGATTAGTGGGAAATCGCGTAGATTTTTGTACGAATGGGAGGTGCAGAAGAACAGGCAGGCATACATTGAAGATATGGAGAGTGGAGGGAAGTGGAAGAAGGTGATGGATAAGGAGGAGGAGGAGCATGGAGAGGTGGGTTTACAGTTGGAAGCTGAGGTTTTCACTTCTTTGGTGAATGAGCTAGTAGATGATCTTTGTTTAATTTGATGAATTGTGGCTAATTTACAGGCAGTTTAATTAATTTGGTGAAGGCCTAATTAAGGCCTAAGGTTGTGTTAGTCATTCAGTTGCTGGCTGGCTTGAATGAGTAATACCACCTTGAGGTGAGGTAAAACTTAAAAGGGGTTGCAATTCTCTTTTCTCAGAGAAACATGATTATATTAGACTAGATATCCAGATACTTAGGAGACTTTTTTTCCCCACTTTTCTTTGAGCTAAGAACTTTGCCATGTAATTTGGTTTAATAAGAGGGGAGTTTTTTTTTTTTTTTTTTTTCATATGCACTGGTGCTTACATTTTTGGAAACACTAATTCAATTGAGTTTCGTCAATCCTATTTAGGATCAACTCTTGCAAGAGTATTAATATATATGCATAAGTTTGAACTTTCCACCTCATATTTAAATAATTCAATCTCTTCTACATATTTTTATCCAGAGACCATCAGTGACGGGACTAGGGATGCGGGGTCGCCATGGCCCCCCAAACTTCTTAAAAAAAATTAATTAGTACTTTAAATTTTGTTTTAATTTGTGATTTAACATATATATATATATGATATATAATTGGCAAACTAGTGAGACGGGACGAGGGCGGGGCAAGAAGTATGATCCCTATCCCAACACTTAATTTTCTACCCTCATCCTTGACCGTATCCCATTTTGGAGTACAATTTAAAATAAAATATTATTTTAATTATACAATTAGTTTATAATTATATATATAGGCGGGTTCAGGTGCGGCAGTGTCTTACGGTGCGGTTATTTCTTACGGTGCGGCAACACCAATAGTTCACCAAATATGCACCATCAATGTTAGGAAATACACCACACAAAACAGAGTAAACAGAGCCCTGCATCACCAAACACACACTGTACTAATTACATAATTAATCATAAATAAAAACTTAAATACCCAACAACAATACTTAAAACATCTGATAATCTCAAATACAAATACTACAAAACATAAAACAATACTCAAATATTTCAAGTAGTTGAAATCGTTTAGGCTTTTATTCAATTTATATGATATAAATATTACATGTAATTATATAAACATAATATATCCTTTCAAAAAATATAAACATAATATATATATATATATATATATATATATATATATATATATATATATATATATATATATAATTTGGGATTGGGGCGGGGATGCGGCCTTGGTCCCTGTCCTAGGCAGTGATTGGAAAACTCTCCCTACTCCGCCCCTATTTTTCAAAAAATTCATCACAGATTTTTTTTTGAAACAAACGAACGGAACTTCATTAAACACTTAACAAACCCGCAATACAGATTTTTTTTTGAAACAAACGAACGAAACTTCATTAAACACTTAACAAACCCGCAATACAAGCAGGTGGGATAACGGACCACGACCTTGAGACAGACGAAGAACCAGTTGCCCGAGCAAGCTCATGAGCCACGTAGTTCGCTGATCTCTTGACATGTTGGACTTTGACGTCCCCTATGCCACTAGCAATTGACAGACATTGCTTAACAATCAAACCTACGTACGAGAAATCTACCTCACTAGAATTGAAAGCATTACAAAAATTTAAACAATCAGATTCCAAAATAATACTACTAATGCGTAACCCTGTCAACCAGTTTAACGATTCTTTGGCCGCCAAAACTTCAGCCATGAAAGGGACTTGGTTGCATGCAATCCTACCACTCCCTGCTGCAATGAATTGGCCGGAGTGATCACGAACAACTGCTCCGAAGCCAGCACCGTCCTCAAAAGAAGCTGCATCCACGTTGCATTTAAGCACATTGCGCAGCAGTGGCTCCAAGAGATAAGAAGTGCTCCGATTCTCCCCCTGTCCTGGCGACGGTGAACGCCTCTTTCCACGCTGATTGCAGTCTCTCAATTTGTTTACGCAAACCGTCAATTGTCAGCACTACTTCTTTCCATAGTATCTCATTTCTTGCAGTCCACACCGTCCAAACAATGGCAGCTAACCTAACCGCCCTCCCCACGATTGAACTGCCCAGAAAAAACTCCAGCAAACCCTTCATGCATCGTCCCTGCAACACATCTTCCTCCCCACATAACCGTCTAGCCCAAACGCACTCGCAAAAGATATGTTCGGTCGTCTCTGCCATAGCATCGCAAAACGGGCAGCCACCCCCAATCTAGACTCTCTTCATCCTCAAATTTTCTCGAACTGGCAGAACACCCCGAGCGCAGCGCCAAAGAAGATGTTTTACTTTAGGCAGCACCGGAAATGACCACAAGTTCTTCCATGAATGAAAAGCCCCATCAAAATCATACTGTGTCATGGCTTCAGTGAGTAACCGATAGCCGTGTTTAACCGTATATCGCCCCTGAATATCACCGATCCACCTCCATGAATCCCTTATTTGTTTATTCACTGGAGTTGTGAGGACTCTGGACGCATCATCTTCACAGAAAATGTCACGTACAACTTCAACATCCCACTCGCCATGGTCATCGAGTAAACCACTTACCCGTGCTTCTTTGAGCTCTTCAATACAAGGTGTGTTTAAGGTAGGATTAGCAGAACTAGATAGCCAATCCCACCCCCAAATCTTGGTATCTTGCCCATCGGCTATCCTACGAGCTATCCCCAGTTTCAAAACCTCTCGTCCAGTCAACATGTTGCACCATAAGAAACTAGGATTTCCTCCCACTGTCGTCGACATGAACTCACCATTCGGAAAATATTTAGCCTTCAGCAGCTTACTAACTAGTGAATCCGGATGGATTAATAGCCTCCAACCCTACTTTGCAAGTAAAGCCAAGTTGAAATCATGAAGCCGCTTGAAACCCAATCTGCCTCTAGATTTTGGCTCGCATAATCGTCTCCAGCTCAATCAATGTAACCCCCGACTACTTGCCCCGCCACTTCCCCACCAATAGCGGTTGAAAGTTTCTCAAGGGTATCACAAATACGAATCGGCAGCAAAACAATCGACATGGTAAAAATAGGAAGGGATTGAGCTATACTCTTTAGTAAAATCTCTTTACCTGCCTTGGATAATAGCTTGTGTTGCCACGACCCTATCCGTTCCCTGATTTTTTCCTCAATGTACCGGAACGTAGCGATTTTATTCCTCCCTAGAATCGAAGGAAGACCAAGATACTGCCCGAGATCCTTCGCCTCCCTCACCCCAAAACAATCAGAAACCCGTTCCCTCATATTGGCATTGGTATTTGTGCTAAAAACAGCACTGGAATTGTCAAAATTTTTCAATTGACCTGACGCCGCACAATACAGATCTAAGCAATCTTTGATTCTCAAAGCTTCTTGTAGGTTTGCCCTGAAAAACAGTAAACTATCGTCAGCAAACAAGAGGTGAGTGACAGACGGAGCACCCCGTGCCACTCTCCTCCTTCTGCTGCAACAGGATTGATAAAGCCTCGGCGCATAGAATGAAAAGATTAGGGGACAACGGGTCCCCTTGCCGTATTCCTCGAGTGGGACAAACAGCGCCAACGGTCTCCCCGTTAACCTGAATTGAATAGCTAACGGAAGACACGCATAACATCAATAACCCCACCCATCCCCGATCAAAGCCCAATGCAACATCATCCCCTCTAAAAAACCCCCCACTCCATTCTATCGTACGCTTTAGCCATATCCAGCTTCAGCGCCACCCAACCCATCGCCCAACACGTTTTCCTCCTCAGAAAATGACCCACTTCCCCAACAACTATTATATTATCCGTGAGCAGTTGCTTCGGGACAAAAGCGCTTTGGGACTGAGACACAACATGTCCCAAAGCTCCTTTAAGTCTGTTAGCCAACATATTAGCCAACACTTTATACACCACGTTGCAACTTGCAAAGTGCTATCGGTCGCAGGTCAGTCACTTTCTCCGGTACCTTCTTCTTCGGAAGTAACACTATATTTGACTCGTTCAGGCCCCGGGGAAGGTTCCTGTTTGCGATATAGTTCAGGATGAACATAGAAAAATCATGACCAAGGACGGGCCAGAAATGTTGATAAAAGGCCGGTGACATACCATCTGGTCCCAACGCTTTTTCTGGGGCCATTGCGAATAAAGCCGCTTTCACCTCCGCGACCGTGAATGGTTGTAACAGAGAGACATTCATCTCGTTCGTAACACAACGTCACACGCGATTACAGAGAGAAGGACTACTGTTCCTGGAACCGAAAATAAAGTTAAAGTGCCTTAGTATTTCAGCGTTCATAGCTGCTCCTTCGACCCACGCCCCTTCTTGATCTTTCACGCGTAATAACAAATTTCGTTTTCTAAGAGCAGTAGCAGCCCTATGGAAAAACTTCGTTTTAACATCCCCGTGCTTTAGCCATAACTGCTTTGACCGTTGCAACCAAAATACTTCCTCCTGCCTCAACAACACCTCCAGTTCCCTTTCCACTGTCAGAAATTCTTCTACTGCCAGCAGAGACCTGTTCTCTTTCAACACTGCCAACCGCCTTTTCATACCTTTGATCTCCCAAACCGTCTAAAATGTTCCTCTCCCCACTCCCACAATCGTTGACCGCAAACTTCTATACGTTGCTGGAAACCCAACCCCACCGTCTGATTCCATGTTTCCCCAACCACTTTTGCGCAACCTTCCTCAAGCAACCATTGCTTCCTCGTGTCGTTCCATCCAGTGTACCGAAGCCACCGCCCTGTCCAACCGTTCCTCCACCCACGCCTCCGTTCCACGACCTCATACCCACGTGAACCGTCCCCCTGACATTCCCAAATCATTTAGTTGACAATCACATAACACATCGTTGAAACCTTCAATGAGAGCTTCCGGGTGTGAATGCTCACCCCGCTTTTCTGAAAGGCAAGCAATATCGTTGAAGTCTCCCACGACTACCGAAGGGAGAGAAGACCTATCCTTGAGTTTCCGTAAAAGATCCCAGGTAATATGTCTCTTTGATCTGTCTGGATTGCCATAGAAACCCGTTAACCTCCACTCCGGCTTCCCTGGAAGCGTGACTTCTACGTCAATGTGGTTGTTGGAATAACTCAGAAGTGTAGCTGCATTCGTGTCCCTCCACAACAATGCCAGTCCACCCCCTAAGCCCACACGATCCATGGACACTGCCCCTTCAAATCCCAGTTTCACCCGCACTTGCTCCACCTTACTCGCATTTGCCTTTGTCTCCATTAAGAAGGCGAAATAGGGTCTCTCCTTAGACACTATGCCCAAGAGTTCACGAACTGTCCGGGTGCCACCCAAACCTCGGCAGTTCCAACTCAGCACACTCATTTGGCCTGGCGAGCCTGGTTCTCCAGACCCGACGTCATCAAGTTTTTTGAGTTCTCGACCATCATCACATTCGCCCCATGCACTGCCCCATCCATTACCTCCTCATCCCGGTGCCGTTTGAGATCACCTTGCAGACCAACACTCTCCTCCACCGTCACCAACTCTAATGGCGAGAGCCCAGGCACCTTGGTTTCCGTCGCCCGTTGAACTGCAGACGACAGTAACCATTTCGCCCCCACCGGCTTCACTTGTCGTCGTGGCCCTGCCCGCATCCAACTTCCAAAGGGAAAAGAGTCAGGAAGAATGCTTTCATCATAGACTCTCTTACAGAACTTATCGGAATGACCCAGCATCCCACAACAAAAGCAGAACATGCTCAATCTTTCATACCGTAAAGTGATCCACTTAATGGATCCATCCTTGCAGGTTAGCTTCATGGGTCTTTTCAACGGTGATGTCACCACCATGTTTACCCTGATCTGATGATAACTTTTCCACGATCACCCGAAATTGATATGATCCGCCACTAAGAAAGTACCACGAAATTCCCGATCCGGGCGATAAACTCCAGGGATGCGAACATCGCCGGTAGCCCATGAATCTGGACCTAGAAGGCTACGGAATCCAGCTGAACATCCTCCGGCCTCTTCTCCGGGGGAACCTGCTCACACACGAACATATTGTTCTCGAATGACCAAGGGCCGTCGTCCAGAACCCGTTGTAGATCCTTTGGATGAAGGAATTGAAAGAGAAATAAATCATCCGCCAATGCCACCGCATGCATACCCATTACCGGCCGCCAGACGGACGCCATGACCTGTTGCATATGGTCAACTCTGATCGGGTGATCGGTAAGAAAGCGCCCCACCAAATTGTGGTGTAATGTTGCATCGAACGAATTAAGCAAATCAGGGGCCTCCAAGCCACTCTATTCGTCTTTAACGATTTACAAATCAGCGTAGCGCTCCTCAATTTTCCGAAAGATCCATGATGAATTGCACAAGGAGGAAAACATCACAGAACAACGATGAGAGATCCATCGGAACCAAACAATATAAATACCCTAGAACCCTAGGGAGACACTCTCTTGTGCACGATCAAGAGAGGAAGCCATGATCAGGAGAGGGAATTACGATCGGAAACCATGACCGGCGAGCTCGATTAGAGATTGCCGATAATTGCGGAGCATTTAAAAAAATGTTAATGACTCTTCATCACCGAATTTAAGTTGAATTGTCTTTCTTATGTATATATTGTGTGTAAAATAAATATTGGCCCCACAAAATTTTCAATTTGTAAACTTAATATTAAATTACTCAAAACTAAATTCAAAAGTTTAAACTAAGTGCACAAACCATTTAAATTATACAAATTTGGTCTAAAAATTTTCACACACACACACACACACACACACACACACACACACACACACACACACACACACACACACACACACACACACACACACACACACACACACACACACACATATATATATATATATATATATATATATATATGGGTTCCCGTGCGGTTGTCCTTCTTAGGTGCAGTTGTGCGGTTGCTAAGGTGCGTGGTTTGTGTGCTTAAAGTGTGTCAGTGTTAAAACTTAAGGTGCGTCAACCTAAAGTTTTAGGTGCATGGTTTTCCTTCTTAAGGTGCGTCATTTTAAAACTTAAGGTGAGTGGTTTGTGTTCTTAAGGTGCTTTGTGTGTGTGCTTAAGGTGTGTGGTTTGTGTACTTAAGGTGCGTCATTTTAAAACTTTAGGTGCGTGATTTGTGTTCTTAAGGTGCTCTGTTTGTATGCTTAAGATGCGTGATTTGTGTACTTAAGGTGCGTCTTTTTGAGTTAACCGCACAGAAAACTATATCTGCACTTGAACCATTTCCTATATATATATATATATATATATGATCAGGTGCGCATGCCACTTTCGGTGCAAAATGCGGTGAACCATAGTCAATGAATTTCTTAAAATAAATTCTATACGAAATGTGCACTTGAAAGCACAAAATCATGCACTTGAAGGTACAAAAATGTACAATTGATGCAATTTATGGTACCAAAAAGGGAGGTTATGCAACTTAAGTGTTATTAAACCAATTATCCATAGAAATCGTGTGCAAATCTCACAAATTTCATTAGAAATTTAGTTATATGTTATTAAAAAGAATGCACAAGATAACAAATATTGCCCAGAATTGTGCACTTGAAGACATAAAATGTGCACTTGAAGGCAAAAAATCTGCACTGAAAGAAAAAAATGATTCACTTGAATGCTAAGTATTTTTTTAAAATTTTTTACACAATACACTTGTAGGCATTAAATTGAGCACTTGAAGACATAAAGAGGATCACAGGAAAGCAGGGGAAAATATGCACTTGAAGAAGGAAAAATGTGCACTCGAAGAAGAAAAATGTGCACTCAAATACAAAAGACAATCTGAATAACTTATTCAAAATTACAAATATGTCACCGCGCATTTTTTAATTAGTATTCAATCTGGGCTGTTGATTTGCACTACATCTACGATCAGCATTTGTGCACATTTTGTACTTGTTGAAGCTTTTTTATTTGATCCAATATATATATAAAGTTCACCCAAAGCCACCACACTGTGTAATTGTGTATACATATATAATATAATTTGGGGGCCCTGTGCGCATGCCCTAGCTGCACAAGATCACTAGCACCGAGAGATAGGAAAATAAATAATTCAAAAAATGTCTTACCATTAAAAATTTAGAAATACATTTTTGTTGACTAAAATAAATGTTTTCCTCTGACTTTATTTTTTTTTTTGAATATCTAAACACACAAAAATTTAGAAAATGATTTCCGAAAATAATTTTTTCAGGTTTCAAATAAACCCTTAATTTTATATGCAATGAAAATACACACTTGACTAAATATATGAGAAGTCTAATAAATTACTCTGTATTATATTATACATTTTAATATATTTTTATTTTTATTTTTATTTGAATTCATAATAACACTAGTATTGTCCCGTGCGATGCACGGACTAAATATTAAAGATTTGTTTGTAATGTTAGAATGGATAGAAAATGTTTTTAATAATGGCATTTGAAGTACAGAAGAAGAAAACACGAATCACAATTTAATTCTTTAAAATTACATTTTTTATTTTTATAAATTAATATAGGTAACCATATATGTTATAATTAAAGATATATAAACATATATATAATATATAATTAAAGAACTACATCGTCATTGTCAGTTCTACAAACAGAATTACAACTAAGATATGTTCTACTCTCAGTTCCGTGCATGTTATTGATGTAGTCCTTAACTGCGTTCACAACATCAAGCATTGGTGTCAGAATTGCCCGACTTTCAAGAAAGCTATAATAGTAATAGTAATAGTAATAGTAATAGTAATAGTAATAGTAATAGTAATAATGCAATTAGATTTTATATAAGCTTTGCAAATAATATATTACATAGAATAAATGAATACTAACCGTTAGTTAACACACTCAAAGGAGTCGGTAGCGATCTTTGAAATACATTGCGCTTTATCGACTATTTTTAAGTATAAAAGGATAATTTTTTACAAAATATCCAAAAAAAATGTACTATAATAGTTAAACTTTTACTCAATATCGTGTTTTCTCCTAACTTAAAAAATGTTTTAATTTATATTAATTTTTTAATATGTAAATAAATAATATTAAAACTAAAGAGAACTATTAATAATTATTTTATTCATAATATTACACCTATAATAATTATTTTACAATATAATATATACTTACATTTATGATTATACTATAACTATATAATTCAATTAAGATAATATTACACATATATACGACTCACGATTTCGAACACGATCCTTATATGTTCTATGTTGAGGTCAACATTTGTGCATTTTAGTAGATTCATCAATCTTCGCAGCAGTGTATCATCTTTCGCGATATTGATATCTACAAACCCAGAATCAACTAAGAACGACTACACGAAGGGAAGGCTGGAAGGTCTACGAAAAGCTAGGTGTGGTTTAGGGCTGTTTATTTACTGATTTTTTCCTTTGATTTCAGGCTGGAATTCATTTCTATGCTTTGAGTAATATCTCGTGACTAATTTATTTCTTCTATATTATTTGTATAGGGATGGCCGAAATCATGCATGTCAGATCTGAGTACAGATCTGCTCTTTTGATCTGCTATGGTCACCTAAAAATAC